TTTGAACCTATCTGTGGTTGGTGACCCACGTTTCTGTAATTGTCAGCACACGTGGCCTTTAAACTCCAAAGCAAACTTCCTGCCCTGGATCTTCGGTACTTATTAGCTGTGTGGCCCTGAGTGGACTCAGTCTTTTCCTAAGTTTCACATTTGTAGAGTAGAAGTTATATACCACCTACTCAAGAGGAAACGGTTGTTGGGAAGATTAAATTATGAGTCCATCACTCAACAGCCCGTGCCACAAAGTCAGAACTGTATTAATATAAAGTATTAATATAAAGTAATGTCTTTGATGCCCCGCCCTGATTTAACTGACTAAGTCATCAGCTTCAATGTTTTTAAGTAGTTTTTCCTCACTCCATACTACCTGTCCTTCTTGATATCTGTTATCTATATCGTCACCTCATCTCTCATTGTTCTTAAGGAGCGTTCCTGAGTTTAAAGTAAACATAAACCATTCTCCTGTATTCATGAGCAGTGTTTGGCTTTTCTCAAATGTAATGCATCTATTTTTTTTGTTAACATTATAAGCACACATTACTTGTAACTGTTGTTTAATGTGCTTATTGCTTTTACAGCTTTAATAGTGTCCATAGTGTATCCCAAGTCTAGCATGAACACGGCCAAGTAGTACCTTAAACTTGAAATGACCAGTGTGTTGAGATAACATATCAACCAAGATCGCCATCTGTTGGTGGTGGTTGGTGTAGACGCATCTCTTCCAAGCCCTAGCATATGTTAACTGGGGAAAGGGTATGGGAAGCGGGGAGGGAAAGAGTGTGTGTGCATAGGATTGCACATCCATCGCTTACAACCTGTAGGGAAGTGCACCACCATTCAGATCTAGGACTTTGGGTGATTTTAGTTTTGTCAGCCTAATATCTGTGCTCTAATTCCAGTAGTCTGTATTGATTTTGTGATTAGAAGAAACTAAAAAGAAAGCTATAATTTAAAAGGGAAAGAGCTATGGGAACAGAAGATCATTTTTTTAAATTAAAACTAAAATATATTTGCTTTTAGTCATAAGTGGAAATGGGAGAGAAAGGAATAAAGGTATATGCAAACTAAAGAATGTCTAGTACATTCTAAGCAGCTCTTCAGCTTTGTCCACATGAGCAAGTCGGTCTCTGTGAATTTTTGCTTGTTATCCTCTCCCTTTGAAATTCTAATTATCCTGCAGTCGTCACGTCTCTTAATTACTCTTTATCCCTTTACTGCCAGTGCTTCCTCTGGAGTGGATTAGCTACTCTTAGCAGAGAGCATCCTAATCAGGGCAGCGAGGGCTGTGGTCTGAACCTTGCTACTTTGAAGCTGGATAAAACCTGGAGAATCCACATTGGCACAGTAGCTTCCCCAGCCCTGCGCCTTGCATTCTTCTTAGAGTCTGCATTCTACCAGTCAAGAGCCCCTTAATTTTTTTTTTTTAAGCAAATTAAGCTAAGCTGCAAATGGAAAACAAGTACTGAACACTTTATAAAGTTGTACCCAACCCTCTGTTAATCTTGCGGGCACTGGTGATTGACAGTAGATTTACATAAGTTCTAATTACCTGTAACATCTCCTCCCCATTATTAAATCTGACTCCAAGTAAAGCTACCAGGGCAGCAGTGACCATTTCGCATTATGCTCAGAGTGGACAATGTGGAGGCTTTAATGAAACCCCTTAGCACCCCTCACTGGCTCCAAATCATCACCTCCCTGTGTGCAGGAAGCCAGCAGCATGGAGTAGAGCCTTTCCACCTCTCAGTGAAATCATGGTCTCTCAGTCCAGGCCCGAGCTGACGAAAGCCGCGGTGGGAAGGCAAACTGATAAATTTCAGAAACGCCTCTTCTGTTCCTTTCCTCTTTGTAAAACTCGAGCCATGCATTTGTTTCAGGTTAGAACAACCAAAACTGCTGCCCTTGGAAAAAAGAGAAATCTGTGCCGGTATCGAAATGGAAGGGGCCGTCAAGTCCGTCCGTCCATCTGTTGTACCCACCCCAGTCTTCTTTTATTGCTTGAACTAATGAAGGACAGACTGCTTCTTACAACTTCATAAATCTGTTGCAATGAAAACTTAGATACTGTGCATTTTTTGAACTTTGGAAATTTGGGCAATGTTTTAGACTCAAACCGTGATTTTTTTTTTTAACCATTTACAATGATGGAAGCCATAACAGATTGTGAAGATAACATGTATGTAACACACCACACATAGCCTCATCATTGTTCATGGCACAGCTTTAAAAGTATAAGTAGGAATTTGGTAAGTGTAATCCCCTTTATTATTTCTTTAGTGAATCAGACAATTAGGGCTGGCTTCTGGGAAAAAAGATTTGGGCAGGCCCTTTGGGATCAAGATGGGTAAGCTGGAGTAAACGGGCTGATGGGATGGACGTGTCTGGAATGGTGTTTGAGGTAAATCTGCGCACAGACTGGTCCTCTCAAAAGGACTGGTGTAGGCCAGAGGACCAGTGCTTTTTATATAAGTCTAGACAGCACAGGGAAGGAAGGGAGATTTGGGGAGCAGCAGAGACAGAGCTCAGCAGGGTTCATTCAGAAATGACTGCATTGATATGGTTCCAGGTAATCTGAGCTTGGTGGAAGATTGGGAGAGAAAAAGTATTATTGAATAAAGATACAGGGAGGAGATGGAGTATGTGTTTGGGGTGCTTCGACAACAGAATTTTGAAAGTGGTGCCCATGAGGTGATTTTTTAGCTAAATACTATCTTAATGAAATATTAAGACTTTTAAGTAGAAAAAGAAAGAGGCAAAGACATAAAAGCTCTCACAGAAGTTGTGTGTGCAAAAAAAAAGTCAGGAAAGAGAATTGGCGTTTTAAAAAGTTAATTAAACCTTCATCTCTGGGTAAATGCCCAGATAAAGGCAGGGTTGAGGATCAAAAGCTAAGTGTAAAGAGAGAGGTAAGGAAGTGGAATGGAAGCTCCAGTGGGCCGCTGAGATGGAAGGCGAGCCACCCCTGTGGGGACCAGTTCCCACGACAAAGAGAAGTGCCCACCGTGTAGGCGTGGGAGCAAGCGCCAGTGTCAGGAACACTAGAGAAGAAAGAGTTCAGTGGGGCAGGGATGTGGTGTGGCCTGAGTGGCCTCTTCATGTCGCCCTACATCTCTGTGTCCTTGAGCAGCAGCAGAGGGGACAGTGCCAACTCCTGACCTTCTCCTAAATGTCCTACTGTTTGGCCAACAAAAAGCCGTCTCTCTGAGACCTCAGGCATAGTATCGTAACTTAAGTGACTTTCAGTCCCCTTACTCGAAGCTGGAGTCATACCAACTGTTCCCTGCTTTTGGAAATGAGTGGGTGACAAAATCTAAGAAATGCTTTCATCGAAGACTGCAGATGGGAGAATGCTAGGAAGGAGCCACGAAGCCTGTGACCTTGCACGTTGAGGAGCTGCTAAAGGGTCATCTTCATGTCCTTGTTTGGTGTTGGCATTTGTGCTTCCGTAGATCTATTTTTTTGTAAACATGGTGATCCAAGTTGATGTTATTATAAATGCTCAGTGCTTCTTCGGGGAATTGAAGGTGCTTGTGCTTCATTATGCCTCTTAGATGTAGTTATCACTGGAACCTTAAATTATCTTTCCTTTCATGCCTAGTTAGAGCTCATTTGACTGCATGATTAGACAGAGGAAGGAAGAGAGTTAAATGGCCAGGAGAGGTGACTCATGCTGTCTGTTTCTTCCAGACAAATGTATATCAGCCACTTTTAATGTACAAGTATAAGTATATTATATTCAGAGTGGTGTAAAACGGGATGTATATTTCTTAGATCGCCAAACACACTTAAGGTACTTGAGGTTCTTCTTCTCTCCCTCCACAGTGCCTCTGTGCATTTGTGACAGGCTAGACAAGTACTCAGCCACTTGGCCTCATCCCCAGCACTAAAACTCATTCCGTCTTTCAATTCTCAAAAGTCAATCATGAGAAAGGCATAAGAGAACATGTTTAAAATCTTGTAAATTAACCATCAGGAAAGTGGAAGTTTAGAACTTAACTATGTAGATGTGAGGAAATTTGGGCCCCAGATTCATGAAATATATCCTGCATATTTCTCTTGTTTGCTGTGATTTTTTTAAAAAAAATGCAAATACTATTTTTTAAACTTTTCCCTGAGTCGTTAGAAAACAAGCGTAGGTAACAGCCCCTCTTCAGGGTCTGCACCAAGAGAGAATGGAGTTAATATCCACATGTGTGTATGAATTACATTTAACTAAATCAGAACAGTTTGCGTTTTTCCTTGCTTTATTTATTAAAATACACATGAAATGTCACTGCATTTCCTCTCCCCAATTTCTATGACACCGTAATAAATTTAACCACATTTCTTATGCACACAATCATTGCATTAGTGATTAACCCCTGTTCAGTTTCATAATCACACACACACACGCTAACTCTCACCGTGGTAGTAATACCCTAGTTATTACTGAGTTCAAAAGTGATCTTAGTAACAAGTCTTTGGCCAAAGAAATGAAAAGCCTAGCTTACCTATCTTCCCTTATCTTTTAAGTTTGTTAAGCATAATATATATACAACTGTCTCCCAGCCTGTGACCACACAGCACTGTTCACCGAGCCAGAATGAATAGAAAAATACAACAGCTTCTTTTGCTGTCTGTGTTTCATAAAAGCTATGTGGGTCGTCGAACTTTAATAGATCTGTGGCCTTGTATTTGGCTTTGTAGTTGACCACAGACATAATGTTACCAGAATGAGGGAAAAATTGTATAGAGTGTACAGTTATTTTTTTTTCCCTGAAGATTGTCAGGAGAGTACCTGTTCTTCAAAGCTAAACATCAGACTTAATAGGGAGCTTCAAAGGCAGATCCCGGCCATTCCATTTTTTAGTTTAAAGTTCAGAATTCTCATTGCGTGCCCCTTAGTAAAGAACATTTTGTACTTTAAAGTTTGCAGATGTTTGAAAAAAATATGTGTGTTCTTTGGACTTGGACATGAATAGGAGTTCCTTATGACTTCTTCTTGTTCCCTTTTGTTTTAGATATGGAAAAATCGTCTCCACGAAGGCAATTTTGGATAAGACAACCAACAAGTGCAAAGGTATGTTTCTGTGGGCAGTCATTTCCTCTGCCATAGCCTTAGAAAGATCTTAAGTTTCACAACTAACCTCATGGTGTTAAAAAGAAAAGCAGGCCTCATATGTCACTCAGTTTCTGTCTTGCACAATATCAGCATATTGCTTACGTTTGTTTTGTCCCTAGTTGAGTTTTGGCTGGAAACCCCACAACTAGCAATTTGCCAGAATCCTGGCTTTGGCGCCAGTAGAGTTAACATGTAAAATACAAGTTGGCATTTAGCCCCTGCCTCTAAAAGGGGGAGTCGGGCTAGAGAATAGCTTTTCTTTCCTGAGCCCGGGGAGATTAGAGCTGCTTACTGGAGACCATTGGACTGTACCAAAGAACTGAAAAGATTACATATTGTGTAAATTGGCTCTATTAATTAGAATAGAGTAGTTTTAAGCAGTACTTAATTACATGTTTCAATACTCCCGATTGTTCTCCCCTGAATGCCTGTTGACAGTATTGGCGGCAGGGAGGAGAGAACCATTTTCACTGACCAAATTGTAACATGGAGGGGAGGTCACGCGCCCCTTTGAAATATGCTGCTGCATTAATTTGATGCACTGACCTTCAGTTTTCCATGCAATTAGGATGAGCTCATCCAGCTCCTTGAGCGGCGCGTGAAAGCGTCCAGAGCAGGGCGGTGCAGATGCTCTGCGCATCTGACTTTTAATGATCCAGCATCTTAACAATAGGCATGTGATTTCTAGGAACATGGAAGAATGGAGTCAGCTGACTTTGACTCTAACTACTGACCCCAGGAATTGAAGGAGGGTTGACAGGAATAGGCAGAAAAGGAAAATCCCCTCATTAATTAGACCCCAGTTTCTCAAGTAGTGTTGATGGGGCCTTGGCTTAACCCTGAAAAAGGCAGCGAACGTAAGTGAAGCCTAGGGTGAGGCCTCCCCTTGTAAGCCAGTCCTTTCCTTTAATCTAGACTTGAAGTGGTCCATTGTAGTCGCCCCTCTTCAAAGTGCCTAGATTTAAAGGAGCTATTGTGGCAAATATCTAAGCCCATGTTTAATCAACATGGCACATTAAGGCAGTTTTGCCTTAGGACAGTGAATAGAGTGTGCTTTATGTAGAGTGGTACCCAATGAATATTTAAAATGAATTAAGCTGGAGAGAGTCAAATGCATGCGGAAATGCATGCACTTAGTTGCCAAGATTAGTCTTATTTAGCATCAATAAATAATTTGGGAGATCAGTCACACACACACACACACACACACACACACGTCTTTTGGTTTTATGGAGAAAAACAGGCTCTTGCCAAACACAAAGCAGGAAGCCGATCTCAAAAGTGAACTTCAAACCGGGAGAGAAATCACAGTGGGTAAATGGTTTTAGTCTACCCTTCCTCCCTCCCTTTTTCCTCACTCCAAAGGAATCTGATGTGGCAAAGCTGTGAGGTGGAGTTGGGGAGAGCCCCTCCTCCCAGCAGAACTCTCCCGTGCCAGACTGACAGGTACTGCTCTGTGCTCTTCTCCAGCGGCTGCCTCTTACTAGAAGCCAGAATTCTACCCTGTTCATTGTGATCTGGGCAAGAGCATGAGTGAAAAGAAAGAACGGGCAATCTCACACTACCGAACACGAAACTGCATGGTTGGAAAGTGGCCATAGACAAACTGGAGAGATTAATGAGGCTTCCAAACAAAAGAGAAGGTGATTCAGTGCTGATGGTCAATCCAGAGAGTCTCCTGGATCCCTTCCCAGCAAGCGGGTCTTGGAAGACACTACCCTGTTGGGTTAGGCATGGCCCTTTCCAAGATTCTTGGTCTCGTTAGCCTTTGGGATATGCATCAGCAGTTGCGTAGGGGATAGAGTATGGGGTGGGAGCAGGGAGGTGGTCCAGAGTGGGTTTATAAAGTTATGCAAGCCAGAGTGAGTTTGCAGGATGAGGAAGTAATGTTGAGACACAGAAGAAGTAACAGTTTGGTTTGTAATAGAGCTGGACAATGTGCCACCTACAGTAACTTGCTGTGGTTGGTATAGACATATAGATATAGAGATATAGATATAGATATAGATAGATAGGTGGATATAGATGTGGATATAGATATGTGTGTGGAGAGTTTTTCACATAAGATAGTCTGAGTAGCTATAGATGAATTAATACAGAAGAGACACATAGAGAATTACATAATCGAGAAACACTATATTAAATACAATTTTTAGAGATTGAATTTATTTAGGTATTACATACATGACACCAAGAGATCTTAGAAGGTCATGAGACTTTTTCACAGACTTATTTGGGACCCTCTATTTTGGCCAAAGTTAAGTTGAAGAAAATGTTAACTCTAAAATAAGCTACATTATTTGTTGAAGACTGTTTTTATTTTATATTTCAATTTTTGTCAAAATTTAGCAAGCAGAAGGCTTTTAAGCATTTACCAGTAATGTCAAAGGCAGGGTAGGACAGAAAAGCCCACAAAGGCTTGACTCTCAGAAACTGCTTTTAGATGAGAGCGTGGATTACATTGACACATAAGAAAACCGTGGGTGAGGGTAAATCAGGCTGGTGAAGTGAGGACAGAAAAAGCCATTTTTATCCCCAAACGAGCCTGTGTTTGGTAGAAACCAAAGCAGACATGCAGACCACAACTCTGCCTGTGTTCAGTCGTCTGACAGTGAGGGCAGACTTCAGTAAGCAAGATGAATATGACCACTGGCGTTCCCGGGACCTGATGACAATCTTCTAGCATCATCAGTGAGCAAACCTACATGTCACTTCGTGAGCCCCACCTTCAAAGACAGCTGCATCTCTGTTTATACACAAGAGCAAATTAATTCTATAGATTCTGCATAAAATTTTATAGGTCTTAAATTTACGGATAAATGGACAGCACACAGTTGCATGATTTCCTGTTTTATTTATCTTCAGAATAGGATTCAACCAAGACCAGAAACGTGTGCTTACAATGACTGAGTGCAACAAGTGTGTGTTTCTCTTATTAAGACAATAAAACAAAGAACAGTCCTATTACATGAGCAGGACTGTACAATAGATAGCATCATAGCAGAGATGTTCTGCTTAGTGTAATGTGTTGGCGGTGGCAGAATTGGTAAAAGGGAGTGTCTTTTGTTTGTTTGTTTGTTTATACTCTATATGGAGTTGTATGAGAAAGACCAAGGCAGAGCTTGCCTGAGAATCTAAGCATGATGCCTATTAGCATAAGCCCCAAGTATGTCCCACCTGCCTTCTACCGGGGCAGTTAAGGAGCACTGTATGCTTTAGCTGGCCTTTTTCTTCCCAGCCTGGTTGTTCCCGTGCTGGCTAAATCAAATCCAGCCTCTCTCAGTCCAGTTCTGAGTACTATAAAGAAGCTGCTGCTTGTTTTAGCTTCCTTGTCTACATCTCCTGAAATGTCTGCTTCTGTAACTGATGCCTTGTTCCACTCAACTTCCTTTGCAAACAACCAGGGTTTGAGGGTGATGCTGCAGCATGGTGGTTGTTTCTGTTTGACTTCGCCGTGGTGTGCTTTGTCACTGTGACCCAGTACAGTGCTCTCAAAATTACTGTTTCCTCGTCAATTCTGAATATTGACAGTAGGCCTGGCTCCTCTGCTTCACAACCTACTAAATAGTGCCATGCTTTTTCGAATAATACTTATTAAGATTAATTTTAGAGCCAGGTGTGTACTCATGAGGCTGAGGTCCCAGGTAGCAAGACCTCACCTCAAGCAAAAATTTTAAAATATAAATGCATGTGCGTTGATGTATACACATGTATGCACACAAGTATAATAGAGATATATGCCTATATAAAAATCAGATTTCATGTGACGAGTTCAGAGAAAAGGTGGTATTTGGCTGGGCGCCTGGCTAGTCTTTTACATTGCACTAAAGATGCTGACCCATTCCTCAGTGTATGACGAGGGCGCAACATCCGCAATGACTTCCATGCAGCGATTTCTGGTGCATCTGCGAGCGTCGTGGGCTGTTGGCGCTGCTGCAACAGTTCTTCCCGCTAGTCTGCACTGCTGGTGCCGTCCGTGTGCTTACTTTGAATGCCCCCCACCTCAGCCCTCCACCCCTCACTTCCTGTCTTGATTTATTGTGTCCTGGACCATAGATGGGGAGCTCATTGACAGTGTGCACACCACAGGTGGATGCGCACTGAAGAGCGGCCTTCCTAGGGGTGTTCTGCTGGATTGCTTACCGTCTTCAGTCTTTACACAGACATGGCGGAAGTCTCTGTTTCAGGGAGCTGGAGGCATTCTCAGCCTCTCCTTTGTTTTGAAGGGAGCTAATGTTACTTTAGGTAACTGAGCACTTTTAACTTGGTACTAAACTTGAGATCATCTTTTAGTAGCAAATGGTCATACTTGTTTTAACTTAGAAAACTAAGGGATAGTCTGTAGAATACATAACTTTTGCTCCTGTCACTTTTGAGCTCAGTTATTTAACTCCATATATATATATATATATATCCTTTAAAAGATTTTTTTGAAGCTGTCTCTCACAGCAACCCCAATGCCCCTCCCTCCCTTCCTCCCTCCATTCATTTATTTATTTATTTATTTATTTTTACCTTGATTAGCAACTTAAATGTCAGGTGTTTTCCAGCTCAACTCTAGGACACCTTAGAAGATCTTTAAGAAGACAAAGCTCAAGTCCCCACCCCTCACCCTACACACACTTTAAAGGATGCTCTGAAGGACCGAGGAAGCCACTGACCATAGACACATCTACTTCTACCGCCCATATCAGAACCAGGATGAAGTCCTTTTGTTTGTTTGTTCTTAACACTTTATATACTCAAAAGGTCATGGCTTAAGAAGAGTATCTTTTGCATTTCAGGTTATGGTTTTGTTGACTTCGACAGCCCTGCAGCAGCTCAGAAAGCAGTCTCTGCCCTGAAGGCTAGTGGAGTCCAAGCCCAGATGGCAAAGGTGAGTGGAGTCTGTGTTCCCGAAGGTTGCCACTCCTCTGTCCCTCCGAACACTGCCACACACCCAGGCATCCTCAGCAATAGCAATTATTCAGAGACTTTCTTCCTTGTAGTCTAAAGGAGGCTAGGCAAGTGTGTATACTTTACATAGTAAAGTATATAACCCCATAAGTAAATCCAGAAATAGCACCAAATTTTCTTAGATAATTAGAATTCCAGAAGGCTTTAAAAATCTATAGTTTTCTGAAGATAGAACTTAACAGTTCTTTGTACAAAGAACTAATTTGTTTTAGGCACACCTCGAAGAGAAGGTAATGGATATATATGTCTCAAAGGCAGAATGAGCAGTATTTGGGGAAAGGAGGGAGCCAAAAGAGAGAAGGAATGGGGCAAGTAAATGAGAACAAAATATAATGAGTATGTATAGAAATGTCACAGTGACACCCATTCCTTTGTATGGTAACCAGAAGATGTATCTAATAAGATATGGATGGAACTGGAAGATGACTGGTTGGTAATGTTGTCATGCAAACATAAGGGCTTGCATTCAGATACCTGGCAGGCATGTAAAAGCCAGACTCAGTGGACTACTTCAGGAATCTCTGTGCTGGACAGGGAACAGGAGGATGTTACAGACTTGCTATCCAGCCAGTCTAGCTGAATTGAGGAACTGCAGGTTCAGCAAGAGACCCTGTCAAAAACTAAGGTGGAGAGCGATTGAGAAAGTCCTCTCATGCAAACCTCCAGCCTCCACACACAGACGCACACAGTTAAAGATCCAAAAGGTAATTGTGCGTAGCGTACAGTAAATTTGAAGTGATATATAACTGACTCACACCTGGGTTTATACAAATGGAAGGTTGGAGGTAAATGTACGCCATAGATGCTGTTTTACCTCTAGTAGCCAGATGATTTTTGCATCCTGACTATTTATGTAATATGAACCTATCCTTTGGTAGTTTTATGTGGACTTCATTCAAGACTTATTTCTGGTGAACTTTAAGCATTCTAGCTGAGGAATATTGTTGAAATGTTCCTCCAAGTGAGGAGTATGCCTAAAAGTGTTCAAGGGCTATAAAACGGAGGCCATATGTTTCCTGCTTCATAAGCATTCTACCACAGTCTGCCTGGGTTTTAATTACTGTAAGACATAATGCTTTTTCCCGGAATTGTGTTCTCTTTGCTAGTTTCCTTGGAAAGTTAGAAAGCGAGAATCCAAGAAGGCCATCCTTTAGAAATGTGAACGGCGTGGCTGACTAGGCTGTGACTTTCAGATCAGATTCGCTGTCAAAGTCAGGATGTTTCTGGAGATGGCCAGCTGATAAACACGCTCGCTGCCACACCTGAAAACTGGGGTTCAGTCCCTGGAACCAATACAGTAGGGAGGGAGAACTAACTCGTCCAACTTCTCTGGTTGGATGATAAGCATACTATCACACATGTGCACAAACACATCCAAATGTATAAAATGTTGAAAGCCTTAGATGATTTGATGCACTTGGAAGGTTAGTTTAGCATGAACAAAATCTCTCACCCAGAGCCATTACAATCCTAAAGCTGAGAAACTTCAGGTTGTTCTCCGGCTTGCTTTCAATGAGCCTTTTCTTTGTCTTTGAGATAGGATGTCACATATCTCACCTGCTATTTCCTGTGTAGCTGAGGATGACCTTGAACTTCTGATGCTTTCCCTCCACCTCCTGACTACTGGGATTATGGATGTGAGCCACCACATGTAGCTTTCAACTAAGCATATATTTACTAAAACATAGTGAGCATCAGAGGCAACCCTTAAAGCATCGTGCATCTCTTAGGTGCTGTATTCTATAACAGAAATTTTATTTCACATGAAGCACATCTCAGAGTCACTTTAACTAAATCAGTGCATATGTCCTGATTTTTATAGAGCAAATGCAAGCTTGAATGATAGATACCCTTAACCATAGAACCTGTAGTACAGCTATGAAGATAATCCTGTTTTTCTTTTCTACATCTGTTTCTGTGTCAGATGTTTTCAAGCCTAAAATTTGGCAGTTTGTTATTTCCAATCTTCTTTTCAAAAGAGCAGTAGTTTTCTATTATGGGGCTTTATGAAGTGCAGAGGGAAATAACTGGGTACCGTCCTTGGCTACTTCTGAATAGTACCACACAAGATCCCTCCCAGAGGAATGTGCACATGGCCAGGAAAGAAGGCTGACGCAAGCTCAAGGATGATGAGGAAGATGTGTATCACCTGAGAAGACCTGCGAGCTAAGTTAGCTGCTCGCAGCCCTACGGCTGCCCCATAGAAATACTTTGAGTATAAGAATCGGCCCACATAAAGATCTAAGGAATTCACTTTAAGTGAATTCCTAAAGTGATCCTTCCCTATAATCCTCACAGCTTGGCACTGAATTGGCCTTTGGGTGTTCTTCACCTCCAGAGTAGAAGTTAAGACAAACAGAAACCATAAACTGGAAGCATCCCAGTTTTCAGATGATGGCCCGTCATGTGAGCCGTGTCCAGTGTTGGCGCTGAACAACTTTGAGATTGTCAGCACCTTGTGAACACGGGGAGCCTGCTTTGCGCTCCGGTTTGTAGCACGTTTGCTCTGTCCGTGTAATCAGTGTGCGACTGGGCACGGGATAAGCAGGACTGACCCAGAAAACCACAGTTCTGCCCTTCACTCTGTGCATCCTGAGTCACTCTGCGAAGCTCTGCCCTTCTCTTCTGATAATATCCAGGAGAAGTCTAGTGGCTTCTGCAGCGCGTCCCTTCTCTTGAGTTTTCACACCTAAATGCCATAAAATACAGCGTCCCTTTCAGTACATCTACAGCCATCCCTTCTGTACTCATGTTGTCCAGCCTCATTCAATGTGATGTTTAAATGAGAGTCTGCTGCAGGGAGAGCGCCAGTACGTTTCCGATACAGCGTGTAGAATGTGGGGTCATGTGTAGAGGTCCCACAGACTGCCCAGAGCCCTACAAGATATGTGAGCCTTGGCTATTGCTGGTTCCGAGGGGCCATCACAGACTACATTGCAATTATTTGCTGGCAACAGTATTGACTGTTAGGTGATCTGGAAGCGCCATTCTGAAGGTTTCCATCCCAGTGATCATTTATTATATGCCCATGTAGAATGGCATGTGATGAATGGGCCTCGTTACATTGTGGCTAAATCTAATTACATTTTCGAAGATTGGTTGGGGTTGTGACTGGCATGTAGTGTATTATAATTTTTTCTTACTAAAATGATGCAAAATATTTTAACATTTGATTAACATTTTGAAGTTAAACCCTTAAAGAAGAGATTATTAATGTACGATGTGCAGGGCTTATAATTTAAATCCACAGTCCTGTTTCACAGAAATTCTGAGTATCGCGTAACAGTGGTGAAGTTTTCCTTCCTGGGAGTCAGGTCTGCTCCTGGCAGTGTGTTCCTACCCAGCCTCTCTCCGCTCCCTAGCTGTGTTTTCTAACCCTTCAGAGTTGGAGCGCTAGCAGAGAACGGGAAGGTCTCTTGACCTAGCAGTGATGTAATCTGACTTTCTCTCCCAGGAAGCAGGCAGATGTTCTTTCTCATAAAGTGCCCTGGATGCTTTGCTGAGCTCTCTACCCAACCTATCACCCATCCCCCAAGCTAACTGTCATTTTCCTCTGATGAACTCTCTCTCCTTGCCCTCCTAGGCAGCCTTCCTCGGGGAATCTAACTCACTCCAAGACTTCTCTGTGCGGTCCACTTCTTTTGGCTTTTTTAGAGGGGACTTACCACATAGCTTGGGGTGAAGTTTGAGTCCATGATTCTTCCACCTCTGCCTCCTGAGTGTTGGAGTTATTCTCTGTATTACTAAGCCAGCTTCCAGTAAGTCCAAATTCTCATCTACCTTTGCCAACCATCAGTAAGAGAGTAATTACTTCCCAGCCACTCTGGTAGGCCCTTTCAATCCGCTCTCTCCTTTTCTATTGTTCAGCTTTTGAGTCATACATCAACCCACTGTATGCTGTGAGCCCACGGGATCCAGATCAAGCTTTCTGTCAGGTCTGCTCAGAGCCCTGTTGCTTGGCTGCTAATGAGAGGCTAAAAGACTACATGTAGAGGCCCAGAACATGGCTGCCTTTCTCTCCATAGGAATGTCAGTCTCAGCCTCTGTGTCTCCTCCAGACTGATAAGAACTAGATGATCAACCACTCATCCTAATCCAATCATAGCCAGATTCTTGGTCTGGTTTTTTGCTGTGAATCCTGGGAATACCAATACCCATTGTCAAAACTCAATTAGAAAGAAGTCTGTTTTATCAACCTGTTGAAAAAGACAGTGGCCTTTTTAGGGTAACCCCTGCATACCATCCTAGCACCTGTGGTATTAAGCAGGTGCTGTTTGGAAGAAGTCTTTATAGTGTGTTGATTTAAAACAGGCATGGGTATAGGTTGACTGTATAGGTCATATCAGGGATGCAGTCTGAATGCCAGCTCCCAGGAGGGTTAAGAACCAGTCCCATCGAAGGACTTCACAGCTTTCATCTGCAGGGGACATGATTCTCCATCATCTGTGGGAAGGACCGGTGCCGCAGGGTCAGGGTTGCTGGCTCTGTTGTCATTTTGCAGATAAATGTAGTTTTAAATGCCAGCAGATCTTGTGTTCACTACCATTGCAACATGGGTTTAAGCATCTGGTCTTAACTTCATCCTCTTATGCTGATGAACTGAAGGTTATCTGATGCGCTTCTTGCGGGGGCAGGATTTTTATGCAGGATGTTGTAATTCTGGCTTGTGTGGTTGCGCTATAAGGGACAAATCGCTGTTCACTTTCTTACAGTGAGCGAATCAGAATGCTGCATTGTATTAAAAACTCACATATTAAAGTCTTTCACTCTTGTGTAATCTGAAGCAGTACAGGGACACTCAGCTTAGGGAAGGCAGAGCTGTAATGTCGCTTGATACACTGGGTGCCTGGGTTTAGGGATGAGTCCACAGATACTTAAAACTGAATTTCAGAACTGTAACCCTAGAACATTAGAGTAGCT